AATTGGGCAACAAAAAGAAATTTATACAGGGACACTTAACATTTTGTAATTATCCTAAGGTATGGGGGGGCTTCTGCTCCCATAGCCCCCCGCCCCCTAATAAACCTCAAGATGGTATCTCTGGTAACATATTATCAAAAATTTATTTTATCATTGTCTTGATCTGTAGCCTGGGGGATAAAGAGCTGTGCACCCCCGTCCCTCAAAATTAATTTTTAAGTAATCAGATTAAATCTAAACAATAGGATGTATAGGACAGAGAGAAGAGAAGGAATTCAGGGGTGGATTGAACCCTGAGCTCATGGAAGGGGGGTCGCCCCCTTCTAAGGAAATTTATAATATGAATTCAAAGCATCAAGGGATGAAAGACATAAAAACAAAAAAATAAACTACCTAAATTACCCATCAAAATTGTTTTTATATTATTACTTATTCCAATATGCCTGTAAAATTACAGATAGAAAGTGTGAGGACTAGAGTTTACAGATAGAAAGTAAAAGAAATGGAGNGACTGTCGAGTTTAACCATCCTATCCATCCTATCCATCCTATCCATCCTATCCATCCTATCCATCTTATCCATCTTATCCATCCTATCTATCCTACCCATCCTATCCATCCTATCCATCCTATCTATCCTATCCATCCTATCCATCCTATCCATCCTATCCATCCTATCCATCCTATCCATCCTATCCATCCTATCCATCCTACCCATCCTATCCATCCTATCTAAACCTCTTGATCGATCCTGCTTCAGATTTCTAATTCCAATTCATCCGTGTTTGCATATATTTATTAATTTATCTATTTATCATTCACAAATCAAGCATACACTTATATCTATTATATATCTATCTATTATATATCTATCTATCTATCTATCTATCTATCTATCTATCTATCTATGTGTACGGGGGTGGAGAGGTTTTGTCGAGTTTAATTTCTCTGCATTGTGCTCAGATTGTGGAATTTTCTGGCATAATATTGTTACAGAGTATGTGTAGTGTAGGGAGAGTAGGGTGTATAGATTTCACAAATATTTAGCAAACTATCTTATAGAGCTCACAAGCTCTGTACCTCTAGCAGAAGGTGTGGGAACTGAAATACACAGGTTGTCCCATTTACAAACGTAGTTCTACAGGGTGTCCAATTTACAAACCTAGTTCTACAGGGTGTCCCATTTACAGACCTAGTTCAACAGGGTTTCCCATTTACTGACCTAGTTCAACAGGATTTCCCATTTACTGACCTAGATCTACAGGGTGTCCCATTTACTGACCTAGTTCAACAGGATGTCCCATTTGCTGACCTAGTTCTACAGAGTGTCCCATTTATTGACCTAACTCAACAGGATGTCCCATTTACAGACCTAGTTCTACAGGGTATCCCATTTACTGACCTAGTTCAACAGGGTGTCCCATTTACAAACCTAGTTCTACAGGGTGTCCCATTTATAGACCTAGTTCTACAGGGTGTCCCATTTACTGACCTAGTTCAACAGGGTGTCCCATTTACAAACCTAGTTCTACAGGGTGTCCCATTTACAGACCTAGTTCAACAGGGTTTCCCATTTACTGACCTAGTTCAACAGGATATCTAAAAAACATACGAGTGTGTATCATTCAAATCCTAAAAAGAGGGATATGAGATTCGAATTTCAAAATTTTAAACTGTGTGTCTTTTTTTCTGTTTAAAAGGATATGAGATTTTCTCTGTTCGTAATGAAAAATATCAGAAAAACATACGAGTGTGTATCATTCAAATCCTAAAATCTTCTCTTCTCTTAAACCTGAACCTGTCATATTCTTTCTTCTCTTCTCCCTAACCCTAAACCTTTCCTTCCTTTTCATTCTTCTCTTCACTTAACTCTTAACCCGTTTTATCCATCCTTCTCTTTTCTCTAACCTGAACCCGTCATATTCATTCTTCTCTTCTCCCTAACCCTAAACCCTTCCTATTCATCCTTCAACCCTGAACCCGTTCTATCCATCTTTCTCTTCTCTTAAACCTGAACCAGACATATTCATTCTTCTTTTCTCTCTAACCCTAAACCCTTCATATTCATTCTTCTTTTCTCTCTCTCTGTACCCTTCATATCCTTCCTTCTTCTCTGCCTAACCTTAACCCATCCTATAAATCCTTCTCCTCTCCATACTCTGAACCCATCCTATCCATCCTTTTCTTCTTCCTACCCTGAACCCAATATTATAATTTGTATGTATAATTGAGTATAATTGTATAATGGCGTGATAGCCCCCTATTGAAAAAAAACTTTTGTTAAAAGGTCCAGGTAGGCCTTGCGCCTTTAAGAAAGTGAAAACAAATGTTTGTTAGAGGTCCAGATAGACTACTGATAAATGTAAAAAAGTGTTATGTCACATTTCAAAGGAAAAGCGAAAAAACAAAACTGCAAATCAATGTCTGAAAGGTCAAATTGATAGGAAGGGTTTAGGGTAAGATAGAAGAGAATACTGAATAGGACGTGTTTAGGTTAGAGAGAAGAGAAGGATGGATAGGAAGGGTTTAGTGTAAGGAGAAGAGAAAAATGGATAGGACGGGTTTAGTGTAGAGAGAAGAGAAGGATGAATAGGACGGGTTTAGAGTAGGGAGAATAGAAGAATGGATAGGATGGATTTAGTAAAGGGAGAAGAGAAAAATAGATAGGATGGGTTTGGTGTTAGAGAGAAGAAAAGGATGGATAGGACGGGTCTATCCTATCCATACTATCCTTCCTATCCATCCTATCTATCCTATCCATCCTATCCATCCTATCCATCCTATCCATCCTATCCATCCTATAAATCCTATAAATCCTATCCATCCTATCAATCCTATTCATCCAATCCATCCTATCCGTATAAATATTGATATATATGACCCAACAATGAGAAAAGAATGATGGATAGTTCGAGTTTATTCTTAGAGAGAAGAGAAGGATTGATAGGCTAGGTATATTGTAGGAAGAGGAGAAGAATTGATAGGAGGGGTTTAGGTTTAGAGAGAAGAGAATTATTTATAGGACAGGTTCAGATTAGAGAGAAGAGAATGATGGATAGGACGGGTTTAGCGTAGGAAGAAAAGAAGAATGGATTGGACGGGTTTAGTGTTAGAGAGAAGAGAAGGATTGATAGGCCAGGTATATTGTAGGAAGAGGTGAAGAATTGATAGGAAGGGTTTAGGTATAGAGAGAAGAGAATGATGTACAGGATAGGTTCAGGTTAGAGAGAAGAGAATGATGGATAGGACGGGTTTAGTGCAGAGAGAAAAGAATATTGGATAGGACGGGTTTAGTGTTAGAAAGAACTTAGAAGAGAAGGATGGATAGGACAGGTCCATCCTATCCGGCCATCCTATCCATCCTATCCATCCTATCCATCCTATCCATCCAATCCATCCTATCCATCCTATCCATCCAATCCATCCTATCCATCCTATCCATCCTATCCATCCTATCCATCCTATCCATCCTATCCATCCTATCCATCCTATCCATCCTATCCATCCTATCCATCCTATCCATCCTACCCATCCTAAATATCCTATCCATCCTATCCATACAATCCATCCTATCCATCCTGTTGCAAAGCAGCAACACAACAAAACCTTTATTACGAACCATCTCCCCTTTAACCCTTTAACTACCTCTTCATTATGTCCCCCCCCCCTCCTCATACAGTGTTGACCTTTAAAAGATGGGTTTAATTTACTCATTTCCTCTCAACATTTTCAACAATCACTCTCAGTCTCTTGTTAGCACTAAATATCTAATGAACCGCAGCAAAAAAATGCAAATTGTTTTATCAAAACGTTTTTGCAAATTTTAAACTGTAACATGCATGCTAACTTATTTCAAACAAGATCGTGTCATGCAAATAATGTAAATATGTTGAAACACTAAGAATTTAACAAATACAATAAAAACCAAAGAAGGTTCCATTTTATTTAACTTAAATAAGCTTTCTTTCTACGCAATACATTCACACCAAAAATAGAACACAAAATAATAAACGATTTTTGTTTTTGTTTTGTCCTTTTTTACCATAGGAACTAATTACTCGCAGTCGCCTCAAACTCTAATTTTCTAATCCCCATATATCTGCAACATAATGGCGTAGACTTTGGATTCTGTTAGATTATATAATCAATGTTTATAATATCACAGGCTTACGCCATCAGTTTACAAAGATGAGAGATTGGAAAATTATCAAGAATTTGACAGTTGTAAATCTGACCAAATAGAGTAAAATAAAACTTTCTTAAACCAAGAAAAGGAAGATAAGGTGATGAAAAACCAATAAAATCAAATTAGTTAATCCTTATATCTTTGCAACCTGATGGAGTAATAGTTAGTTCATATTTCAAACCCTGAATTCTGCTAGATAAAATATTCAAAGTTTGAAATATGAATGTTTTTCATTATCAGGTTGCAAAGATAACAGAACTAAAAATTTAAGATAGAGGCCAGAAATCAGTTCCTTTCAAGCTTAAATACCTTATTTCATAAAAACCAACATAATTTGAGTCACCCTGTACAGTTTAAAAACCAATATAATTTGAGCCACCCTGTCCAGTTTAAAAAATAATTTTTGTAACAAATATTTATTTTAGGTACAATATCTACAATACAATTCAGTGTTTTTAAATATTTATATGTTGGACAGAATAAAGATAGAGAAAATATAAAAACAATAGAAATAAAAATGTTTCAGCTTAAAAACTTTCTTTTGTGCATAAATTGGATTTTTGCTAAAAAATGTTGCAATTGAAAGACAAAAAAAAGTCCAATGATTTCAAGAAAAGCACTTTTCACAGGTTTGGAGTTTTTAATTTTTGGAGTTTTTTCATCGCTTCCTCAGATATAGATTTAGTTTGGTGATCACTGATCATACGTTTTCTGATATGACCATGATCATGATCAGTAATTCTTATCTGATCATGATTTAACAATGTGATTGTCCTTCTACATCCTGATCATGATCTTTTTCTTGTAAGAATTTTTTAATATTTAGGTTCTCCCCAATAATCTGTAGTTGTTACAGCTTCAAGACTGTTCAGGAAACTATCATTATCCAGGCTACATAGATCCTCAACCATATCCTATAATATATATATATATTATCCAGGCTACATAGATCCTCAACCATATCCTAGAATATATATATATATATTATCCAGGCTACATAGATCCTCAACCATATCCTAGAATATATATATATTATCCAGGCTACATAGATCCTCAACCATATCCTAGAATATATATATATATATTATCCAGGCAACATAGAATATTTCTATTAAAAATCTAGCTGCCAATGATCTAGCTGCCAATGATCTAGCTGCCAATGATCTAGCTGCCAATGATCTAGCTGCCAATGATCTAGCTGCCAATGATCTAGCTGCCAATGAAAAAGCATGAATACTCTAAATCAAGGAAACTCTGAAGCGATCAATTAAACGACAGGATAAACTACATAGATATTTAGAAAATGTCTTATTGTCCGGAGGTCTGTCTACAATTTATTTTAGTTTAGTCTAGAAAATGAATTTTAAAAATCTGCAAATTTGCAGGGGTAAATCCACGAAAGTCCATGTCTATGAAAACATATTGGAAAGATGAACTGCATATCCTGCGAATGTTTTGATAAGTTTCATGATAAAATTTTCAACTTTTTTTAGAATATTTTTAATATTTGACTAGGTTTCAGTATAGGGTAGAAAGTTGAAGGATGTATTTTAAGCGATTCTTAATTTAAATTTCCTCGATTTATTTCAATTTTGTGAATTGGGCTGTATATTTTTTATATATATATATATATTTTTTTAAGTCCTTTTTATCAATAAAAATACGATCCTTTTTCCTCTTCTATATATATTCAATTTCCTTTTCAAAACTTTTTTTCAATTTTTTTTTGAACTAATAAAAAAAGAATAATGACAGTTACATTGCGAAGGATAAATTTTCTGTTTTTAATGGTTTTCCATATTTAACAATTAACGTGTTTCTCAAGATGTCAGCCACCTGTTCATGTTTCGTTAAGTATCAGAGACACAACAAGGATATTTGAGAGGAAAATAAAATATTGGAAAATAAAATATTGGAAAATAAAATATTGGAAAATAAAATATTGGAAAATAAATATTGGAATTAAATACGGAGGTTTCAGGGCAAATACTAGGTCTGGGATTTCAAAAATAAACGGAAGAGTCCGTTAATTAACGACAAAAAACAGTTGATTTTTAAATCGTTTTGAAAAAAAATAAACGATTTTAAACGAAATGGATTTATTTTTAAACGGCGGATTTCGATTTTTTGCTTAAAATTGCATTAAACTTGTAAAAGTGTTTAAGTGTTGTCTTAAATGTCATTAACAATTTTATAGACCGTTAACGCCGTTAATACTGCTAAAGGGCCGTTAACTATTTTATTAACCGTTAACGAAATTTGTTTAGAGCTTTGCGCCGTTAACGCCATTAATTCTGTAATAGCAGCAATTTTAATGGCTAGAGCCAATAACGGTTGTTGAAAATTTTCTGTTAAAGCCGTTAATAAAATTGAGATTGTTAACTAACGGCTACCTGAGATTTTATTTTAAAAACGATTGGAACTAACCGTTAACCAAACGGCTTTAAAAAGGTGGAAAGGTGCCTAGTCCTACTGTAGGGTTGTTAATCGTTTTTGTAAACGATCGTTTTTTGTTTCGTTTTCAAAAACGATCGTTTCGTTTTCGGAAAAAACGATCATTTTTAAAAACGACCCACTCGTTTTGAACTTTTAGAAAACGAATAACGATCGTTTTTGAAAACGATCGTTTTTTATTATAACGATTTGCGACCTTTTTTATACGATTGTTTTTTAAAAAACGATCGTTTTTGAAAAAACGATCGTTTCTGAAAAAAGATTTTTCTTGACAATTATGTTAACGATCGTTAACGAAGGGTCGTCGTTAACGATCGTTAACGAAGGGTCGTCGTTAACGAAGGGTTGTCGTTAACGATTGTTAACCAAACGACGAACTTTATCAAAACGGTCGTTTTTGGAAAAAAAAATTCCATGCAACTTTATTGAATGTCGTCTTACATGAAGTTTAAAAGTTGTGGGGGAGTTAAAACTCATTGATATTTTCTTAAAAACGACTCAATGAAAAGTACAGACGCCCTTCTGGTCGGTTTCCTCTCTTCGTTAATCGTTAACGAAGGGGTCCTCGTTAACAATGGCTAACGAAGGGTTGTCGTTACTATTGTTAACGAAGGGTCGTCGTTAACGATCGTTAAATAAGGGTCATAGTTAACGATCGTTAACGAAGGGTCGTCGTTAACGATAATTAACGAAACGATCGTTTTAAAAACGACCATTTTTAAAAAACGAACTATTTAAAAAACGATCGTTTTCGATTTTTCGTCATCGTTTCATAACGAAACGATCGTTTTTTCTGAAAAATGAAAACGTTAACATCCATAGGTCTTAGCAAATACCCTTATATCATAAAAAAGTAGGTTTTTGTCCTAAATATCATGAAATATAGAGTTTTAAGGGAGAAGACACAAAACATTATCAAATATCGAGTTTTTTTGCCATAATAAAAATAATAATAATAATAATAATACTGATAATAATAATAACCTATGCTGATGATAATAAAGATGACTATCCCGACGACGACTCCAACGATTGCGCTGATATTTGTTGCGTCAATTCTCTCTCCTTCTATTCTCAGCTCCTCGTCATCTAAATTATCAGCTGATTTTAAATGATCACCTGATTTTAAAAATAATCAGCTGATTTTAAAATGCTCAGTGACCAGTGTGTTTTGAAACTGTCAGCTGGTATTAGAATTTTCACCAAACCTTTTAATGTCAGCTGTTTTTAAATCATCTCCGGTTTTCTTTGATTGTCGGCTGAATTCTGAAGTTTCAGCTGATTTTTTAAATTAATGGCTGATTTTAAAATTTTAGATCTTTTTCAGATCATAAGGTGATTTTTTTAATTGACAGCAAATCATTGAACTATTAAATTTTCAAAATTTTCTGCTGAATCCAAACAGCTGTTTGCCAAAAATCCTCAACATTTTTTTGTTTAAAAGGCCGGATATGTTTCTTTTTCTTCTTAATTCCTATTTTTGTTTCATTTGGTGGTTATTCGCAAAACACGGCTTTAGGTTGAAAACCACGCTTCCTATGTGAGTTTAGATTAACCACTGTAACCATATACATTCACCTATAGCATCCATAATTGACTAATATATGCGGCGATAAATTTAAATCTAACATTTTTTATTGTAATTGTAATAATTCTTTCACCCCTAACCATTCTACAACTAATGATAAAGGTCGTTTTTCAGTTACACAAAGTCGACCTGATGGGTCGAATCGTAGCATAAGGAAAACTTCTATAGATATTAAAAATAGATAGATAGATAGATAGACAGATAAAGTGAGAAGTGGGGGGGGGGACTTTTTTAAGAATTAACTAATAACCGGCAGAATTTTATTTCATGGATTTTTTTGCTCAATTTTCTGCTAAATCAGGTCTGCAGTTCACTTTCTCCCTGATTTTTGCATGCAATTCAATCCCCAGCAGGTTTTCATGACTTTCAATCTTGCAAAACTCCGATTTAGAAAGTTGTTAACGGTGGGTGGGGGGGGGGGGAGAGACGAGGAAACGTCTGGTCAGGATTTTAGAGAAAATCTAAACTGTTTATTGAACCCGTTAGCGAAGCGAATTTAGATAGATAGATAGATAGATAGAAGGATAGATAGATATATAGATAGATAGATAGATAGATAAATAGATAGATAGATAGATAGATAGATAGATAGATAGAAAGATAGAAAGATAGATAGATAGATAGAAAAATATATCAGTTGTAAAAATCCTAATGGACATTTCTTTATGAAAAATAAATAAAACAGCGATCATTCCACAGTTTTCTAGTTAACCCTGTACTGTAGAAAACAAGAAATAATATTTAAGAAACTAAAACACACACAAGCATTAGGTTTTTAAGTTTTTTAATGTTTGTGCTCCACTTCCTTATTTAGATCCCTAATAGGATAAAATACAAACCTTGCTAAAACTAACAGCTTGTGGTGTATTATTTGCAAATATTACCAAACCTTATCTAGGTACTGATCTGAGTACATGGTTCAGATAAGGTTCGGAGCAAGCTAATGATAGTTATTTAACCCATTTATGTCAGGAACTATAAATATCATTTCAATTCTGCCTCATGGTGGAACCATTAATCATTTTTTGTCTATTATGCCCATTTTTTCTGATATCATGTTTTTTAATTTGTTTAAAGGGACTGGAAGCTTTATTTCAAGTGTATATCGACCATTGCTCTCACTGCATTTCTTATAATTGATTTGATTACAGCATTTAGAAAAGAATTGATTACTCGGCTAGTACTCTAATTTCAGAGTCCGTATACCTTTGCAATATAATATCGTTGAATTTTTACTTTTATTTTAATAAATTCTGCTCCAATGAGACCCATAAAACTGTGGAATAAGAAGACGACCTTTAGACTCAAGTATTTGATTTAAAACATTATTAAAGTTACCTGCAGTAAATATTTAGTTACCTGCAGTAAATATTTAGTTACCTGCAGTAAATATTTAGTTACCTCCAGTAAATATTTTCTCAGCCGAAAAATCAAAATTGAAATCTCCTTGACTCTGAATGAGATCCTCCGCCTTGCTTTCCGCCTCTCTGTGGTTCTGCTCTACTATCTCCCCCAACTGCTCCGCCTCCCACTCCGCCCCCTGGATCTCCTTGATCACGACATTCTCCGTCCTCTCCGCCTTCTCCCTCAGTCTTCGTTCTAGACTCTGGATTTCTAAATAAAAACCTAATCTTGATAAAAGTTAATTGGAAAACTTGTTTCAATGACATTCAAGTTTGTGACAAAAACTCAAATCCTTTGCTCAAGTCCGGCAAATAAAGTTTAAAACTAAAACACAAATGAGGCTTTCCTTGTACTGTAAATGCAAATGATTGCAAAACATTTTTGCTAGTTTTATGTGAAATTGCGATAAGCTCTTTAAAGTATGAAATATTCTATCCCTATCCATTCAATATTTATGAAATATCCGATCTATGAAATATCTTTAATATATTTGATAATATGAATTCAAATTTTGTCTCAGAACACTGGACCAAATCAGATAGAACCCCAGATCAATTGACGCCAGGATTGACCCGAAATCTTCTAAAATATCCATTAATTGCATCAAAGATACTGCTCAAATTAATCTGCGTTCCCATCCTAATCCTATTTCTGAAGAGTCCTGCTTGACAAGATCACCACTTAATTTTCAAAAAAAAATTAAAAAGTTACATCACAATAACATTTGTTTGAGAAAAGTTCCCGCATTTCCTTTCCCCACTTTTGTGTCCCATTTCTTCCAACTATAGTTTACTGGTAAATATCTCCTGTCACGTTCCCCGCATAATAATCGTGAAAATAAACAGCCATTAAACACTAATATCAGTTCCACGCATATACAGTAGGATATATGTTGACGCATATATGCTTGCTTGGTAGGATATATGTCGACGCATATATACGCATATACTGTAGGATATATGTTGATGCATATATACGCATATACTGTAGGATATATGTTGACGCATATATACGGTTGTTGAGTAAATACGTGTTGACGCATATATACGCATATTGAGTATGGATATATGTTGACGCATCTATACGTTTATTAGTAGGATATATGTTGACGATTTTATACGCGTATTAGTAGGATATATGCCGACGCATTTTTAAACAATTTGTTCAAGGATGGGATTTTAAAAACGTGATAAAAATTGTAAAATAAATAGATATAAAGAGCATTATTAGAAAATATGTGTGATATTTTATCAGATCTGTGTGTTTCTTCTTACCATTTCCTTATTCTTAAACCACAACCACCTACAACCCCCCCCCCTCTCATCCTTCTCAATCCCCCCCCCTTAATCTGGTTTTGTCTCATGAACCATAAACTGTTCGAACCAATGAATTTAAACTAGTTTTCAGCCTAAATCAAGTCTCAAGCAATCAGTTTTTATCAATTAATGGAGCATTGGTAATCTTTTTATTTCAATCTTTCCAATTCGTAGTCAGGAAGCTATGTCAAGATATCCAGATCTGACGGTAGCGCAGATATCCAAGATCTACAGGGGAAGTATTTTTCAAGGAGTGTAAGAACTAAGGACTTATATCCTTGATTCTCTAGGACTTATACCCTTGATTCTCTAGGACTTATATCTTTGATTCTCTACGACATATATCCTTGATTCTCTTGGACTTATATCCTTTATTCTCTATGACTTTTATCCTTGATTCTCTAAGACATATATCCTTGATTCTCTAGGATATATATCCTTGATTCTCTAGGACTTATATCCTTGATTCTCTAGGACTTTTATCCTTGACTCTCTAGGACTTATATCCTTGATTCTCTAGGACTTATATCCTTAATTCCCCACGACTTATATCCTTATTTCTCTAGGAATTATATTCTTGATTCTCTAGGAAGTATATCCTTGATTCTCTAGGACGTATATCCTTGATTCTCTAGGACGTATATCCTTGATTCTCTAGGACTTAAATCATTAACTCTCTGGGACTTAAATCCTTTATTCTCTATGACGTATATCCTAATTCTGTAGGACGTGTACCAACAATACTTTAGGATGTATAACCTTGATTCTTTAGGACGTATTTCCATGACTCTCTAGGACTTATATCCTTGATTTGGTGGTTCGGACGTATACCAATGATTTTCTAGGACGTAAATCCTTGATTGTTCACAGAAGTCTTTATCTTACCTAGATCCTCTAGTATGTGAAGAGGTAAGGATCTCCCTCTAGCATCTAGACTTCTTGGCCTTTCCTCTCCCTTTCCTCCTACTCCTGAACCTACACGGAGTAACAAATCTTGAATCTATTCTGGACAATTGCAAAACAATTCAAATTGATTTATGCATTGGGAAATTTTCTGGTTTTATCCTGGTTTCTTGCCATGAATGAAATTTGAGTTTTAATTGATTCAAACCGCAAAAATGACCATTGTTTCTCTAGTTTCTAAACGTGCGTGTTTTTTTCAAATAGAAAATATTGAAATCAACTATAAAACTCCGCGAGGATATATCCCACAAGCGCCCATAAAGTTCTAAAGGTTTCTGGTTTCAGCTAATTGGATTTTAAGAAGCATCCCATCTTCTCAGAAAAGATTGATAGATGACAAGTTACTCAGTTCCTGATAAAGGTTTAATATCAATCCTGGAGCTAGGTTCATCCGTCTCATTTATCTCATCATAGATCTCCGTCCCGTGTGTAGGGTTGGATTCTCCTGCTGAAACCTTCAGATCATCCACAAGGATTGAGATATTATCAGATTCCGTTTCTTTATTGAAAATCACGGGTTGAATGGGAGTAGTAGAAATCTGGCCTGGGGCGGGTTCAGAAGTATCAGGAGTGGATGTATCCTGGTCCTCCGGAAAGCTGAACCTGTCTCCACCCAGTAGGTTACTAGACATTCGAATTCTGGACGTGGTGGCTCGAGCCAAAGATTTGAGTTTGGCAATGATTGTCTGGAGTAAACCTGAAGGTTTGGGTTCTGGTTTCTCCTCCTCCGGATCCCGGTAGACCAGGTTGTAGCTGATAAACTGGGGATCAATATGAAGAGCCTGAGGCCGGTTTGTCTCCACCTTGTTGCTGATCCCGTGGTCCACGTAGATATCGGAGATCTTCTTCAGGCTCCTGTAACCTGCCTCCGACACGTCGCCCATTTTTACACTCACTTTACTCACAGATTTACTCACGGATACATGAGGTTCTTGTCTGGCCTTTGGGTTTCTTTCTCGTGGCCAGAGCGGGTTCAGCTCCGGGTTGGGTTGTAGCTCAAGAAACCCTTGCTCAGGGTTCAGTTGCTCTGGGATAACGAGAACCTTGCCTCCCCTTGCTCCGGCAGGAAGAGATATAAACACGCTCTCATCTAAAACCTGAAATAAAATAAATTAGAATTTTCTAAATCTAATCTTATATTGAACAATTACTAGTCTTGTATTATAAGAATTGATTAATATTTCTAAACAGGATTACTCAAGGATGTCACAAAATAAATCTTGTAAGAAAATTAAATTCATTGCTTTCTTAAAATTTACAGTAGCAACAAGTTTATAAACATATTTTTGAATATGTCTTTGCGTATTTAGTTTCAAAACAAGATTATTAGTATTTACTTTAGTTGTGAATTTTATTTGGACACCCACTGTAAATTATTCAAAACTAATGATTTCGCTGCCTATTCTCTGCCCTATATAGCTCTAGGCCTAGAGAAGCGTAGAAAATTTAGAAACCAAATCATACATGGATCAATGGGAACCCAGAGAAACATAGAAATTATTGAAACCACTTCAAACATGGATCAATGAGAATTCGGAGAAGCATAGAAGTTCTTGAAACCAAATGACAAATGGATCCATAAGAACCCAGAGAAGCATAGAAATTTTTCAAACCAAATCACAAATGGATCAATGAGAACCTGGAGAAATACAGAAATTTTTGAAACCAAATCACAAAGAGATCCATAAGAACCCAGAGAAGCATAGAAATTTTTGAAACAAATCACAAATTGATCAATGAGAACCTGGAAAAACATAAAACTTCTTGAAAACAAATCATGAAGGGTTAATAAGAACCCGGAGACGCATATTACATTTTTTAAACTAAATAATACATTGATCTATGAGAACTTGGAGAAGACAAAAATCTATCAAAACTTAATCATTCTTTGATCCAATAAGTCCAAATCTTTTAACCTTTCATATTCAAATAATATCAAGTTTTAAATAAAGAATGCTAAAGAAAACTATACATCATCCATTCACATAAAAAGATAACTAGATACTAATAAACCTAGAATCCTAGGAACCTTAAACCTATAAACCTATAAACCTATAAACCTATAAACCAATAAACCTATAAACCTATAATCTATAAACCTATAAACCTATAAACCTATAAACCTATAAACCTATAAACCTTTAAACCTATAAACCTATAAACCTATAAACCAATAAACCTATACATTGATCTCCCTTAGATCTTCTCTGAGATTGGTTTTAAATAAATCTGAATATTTAATGAAACCTGAAAATTATTCGGAGATATGAATACAAGAAGAACTGAGCGTTTTAAATCAATGTTTTGACAGAAATCCACGAATATGTTCTTCCAAACCGTACACAATCCACGAACATGTTCTCCCAAACTGTACACAATCCACGAACCAAACTGTACACAATCCACGAACATATTCTCTCACACTGTACACAATCCACGAACATATTCTCCCACACTGTACACAATCCACGAACATGTTCTCCCAAACTGTACACAATCCACGAACATGTTCTCCCAAACTGTACACAATTCACTAACATATTCCCCCAAACCGTACACAATCCACGAACATGTTCTCCCAAACTGTACACAATCCACGAACATATTCTCCCACACTGTACACAATCCACGAACATATTCTCCCACACTGTACACAATCCACGAACATATTCTCCCACACTGTACACAATCCACGAACATGTTCGCCCAAACTGTACACAATCCATGAACATGTTCTCCCAAACTGTACACAATCCACGAACATATTCTCTCACACTGTACACAATCCACGAACATATTCTCCCACACTGTACACAATCCACGAACATGTTCTCCCAAACTGTACACAATCCACGAACATGTTCCCCCAAACTGTACACAACATTCCATTATTATTTTTAAGTATGTATTTTATGTAAAGCTTAACTTATTTTTTATCAAATTTGTATTCTAACATTTTTCAACATGATATTTTTTCAAATACTTGATTTGACGCGACAAGCACAATAAACATTTAGCTATATCTGAAATGTATTGTGAAATATTTTAAAATATAATTTTCTTTAGAATTTAAAGAAAAATTCGTCTTCCATGTGTGTGTGTGAATAGTTTATTACTAGAAGAAAGGAAAGGGAATGACAAGCAGAATTTTATCTGATTTATTTCATCAAATCATTTAGCTCTAAAAGGAACTGATTACTCGCCTCAAATGCTTTTTTCCTAATCCTTATATCTATGCAATCTGATGCCGTAAATCTTTGACATTTCAAACTAAATTTTGAAGTAATAACTAGTTTATTTTTCCTACTTTTTATCAAATCATGTATCCTAGTATTCAACTCCTTTGTGAATGATATTTGAAATTATGACGAGATAAGGTAAAATGACGAGATATATTTTTAACAGTTTAAAATTTATGATATCTTTAAAATTTGTATATTTCTCGGTAATGTCAAAAGTAATTCAACCTTTCAAGCATTTCTGTAAAAAAATAGATAGCAATAAAAAAACTGCATTTAACAAAAAATTAATTGTCTATTTTCGAGAATATTAAGCTTGAAGTGCTGTATATCACTTAAGGCATTCTTCACTATTTTATAAAAAACAGAAGCCTTTCACTATTTTATAAAAAAAATACCAGCCTCTCCAAGGGACAAGAATAAACAAAATGACAAAAATTTAAAATGCGTCGTGTGAAGTGTGATGCCACATAAAATCATTAAATTTTAAATCATTATTTTTAATGACAATGGACATTTTTGCAAACTCTATTTTGCGGAATGCATTTTTTAACGTTATTTGAAGAGAAATCTTAATTCTTTGTGAAACCGCAACTTGATGGAAAGGGGGGTTGGGACCCGTTACAAATATTAAATATTTAGTTATTTTGTTTTGAAAGTCTCATGAAATTAGGTTTACAATCCATTACTGAGGTGGAAAAATTTAGAAAAAATCGAATAGTGAATTGAAAATTCTCACCATTTTGCAATGTTTGTCAAATTGATATTTTCCAAGTTCGCACAAATATTGTAGCAAAATGTTGTGCATGAAACAGTTTAGCATAAAGAATATTTTGTGAACAAGAATATTAGAGAAATTGTGTTTTCAAAATTTCTAAAATATTAAACATGAATTTTGTTGTGTTTGTTTACATTTTTGAATATTTAACAAGTATTTGAATAATTAGCTTTTGTTTATTCAGTTTTACTGGGGGAAAGTTTTTATATATTTCACACTTATATAACTAGATTTGCTTTACTTCCACTTCTGTTCTTTTTACTTCTATTTCTGTTCTAATACTCCTGCTTTTTCTTTTACTCTCACTTCTGTTTCTTTACTCCATTTCACATAGATTCAGCCTCCTTATAAACAGTCTCATCAATTTTTAAGACAGGGCTGACTTTGAAGTGTCGCAACGCCCTAAGCTTAGATTTTACCGCTCTAACTCACTTATGCGTTTCTGTAGCCCTTTACATGTACTTTTAGCGCTGTAAAGCACTTCTTGTTAGATTTGGTTTTTTAGAAGTTATTGGCAAAATTCTCAACGATTTTTGCTTGAGAGCGTGAGACCATTAAATCGCAGTGATTTATCTTATATCTTTACTTACACTTCTTATTTTTTTGCCTACGCTTCATTCTATTCTTTACTCACACTTCTTCTTTTTTTTGCCTACGCATCCTTCTATTCTTTACTCAAACTTCTAATTTTTTTGTCTACGCTTCATTATATTCTTTACTCAAACTTCTTCTTTTTTTGCCTACGCTTCATTCTATTCTTTACTCACACTTCTTCTTTTTTTGCCTACCCATTATTCTATTCTTTACTCACACATCTTATTTTTTTGCCTACACTTCATTCTATTCTTTACTCACACATCTTATTTTTTTGCCTACACTTCATTCTATTCTTTACTCACACTTCTTATTTTTTTGCCTACACTTCATTCTATTCTCTACTCACACTCCTTATTTTTTTGTATACACTTCATTCAATTCTTTACTGCTACTTTTTTACTGCCATCTCTGTTTTTTACTCCCATTTTTTTCTATGCTTTACTTCTACTTCTTTATTTTACTCCCACTTCTTTCTTTCTTTACTTCTACTTCATTATTTTACTCGCACTTCTTTCTTTCTTTACTTCTACTTCTATGTTTTTACTCCTAAGTTTGTTTTTTACTAACACTTCCTCTACTCTTCACTCCCACTTCTTCCTAGTCTTTGTTCCCACTTCTCTTGACTACTCGTATATATTTTCTCCTGACTCATCCAAACATCCTTCTTCAACTTCAAGTATCCCCCACCTCCATGCACTAGAAGAAGCTTAATCATCCGCCTCATGTCAGTAATGATTCGCCATCAGGAAGCTTAATCATCCGCCTTAGTATCATCATATGAGACAGACATTCAATTTTTAGGTTTCACTGGTCGCCTTCAAACAGTTTTATTATTCGCCGTATGATAGCTTATTAATCCGCCGTGTAATCCTTTTTATGACATATTAATCAACTACCTTTCGCCAAATGCAAATTCCAACTAATTAGAATTTTCTTATTACTCAAGAACCTTGTATTTTAGCAAAATCATGATTTTGCGAATATTTGTAATTTTACAAGAGTTTGAAGGTTTAGTTCTTAGCCATATATATTTGAATATTGCAAACTTGCAAAATATCTGAATAAATTCTTACCGGTAAGCATTGAAAACAAGTTTCGGAATACATGTTGATGCTTTTTTAAATAAATTATAAAGAAGTTCATATGAAATCTTTTTATCATTCTCAAAATATCAGTTATCTATCTTTAACAATTTGTATATTCTTCTATTTACATAAAAAAAGAAATAAAGCAAGTAGTTGTTCTAAAATCAAATCAATGTCTTAGATCGGATTGTAAGGAAGGGGAATTTCTTGCAATCATGTTAACATAGTTCTTATATCATGCTCATTAAACAAGTTAACAGATAGATAGATAGATAGATAGATAGATAGGTAGATAGATAAAAAGATAGATAGAAAGATAAATAGATAGATAGATAGATAGATAGATATATAGATAGATAGATAGATAGATAAAAAGATAGATACATACATAGATAAGATAAGATAGATATATCACCTCTGGTTCTATCAATGATTCTCCTGAAGAATGAGGAACCAAAGTAACTAAGACTCCGAACCCTGAAATAATGATTTCTAATTAAATATTAATTATTAATTAAATTAATTTGTTTTCAATAATCGCTCGATAATTGTACATAAACTAATTATCTTAATTAGTTCCGCTCAAAATTCAATCCTAAATTATTCTTAAAATTAATATTTTTCATAAAATTAAACATTGTCAAATTATTCATGTGTATGCTGGCCTGTCTGTTTGTTGGGCATAGTCTGTCTTTTTGTCTGTAACTCAAAAACGTTGTTTTATCAAATTTAAGAAAAAGTGTGAAATCGGTGAAGTATTGAAATGTGAACAACATTTTTTGAAGAATCTGTTTTTAGTAGTTTTAAGCATAATTTCAAGTTACCCTCCATGCAAAGATAACAATGCCCGATTAACAACAGTACTCTTGAAACCATAAATTGATAAAAAATATGGAAGATATCGTCGTTTTTCTGAATTGAAAAGTTTTTTTTGTGAGTTTCTCAATTGCTTTTTATAAGCAAGAAACGCGCAAGTCACTTTCGCAGAGAAACCACAAATTAAAATAATCATTTTAAAGAAACAGAAACATTGAAACAATCGGGCATTTCCATCTTTACATGGAGGGTCACTTATAATTTTCGTATATTATTTTTTAAAAAGTGACATTTTAAGGTTTTAAGTTTTTTATTTTCATTTCATGGATGACTTGCAAAAAAAATATATTTTTTATTTCCCGGGATCATGGTAAGTTCTACTAAATATATAGCCCAATCTGTTCAGCTGTTTTATTTCCTGGGATCATGGAAAGTTCTACAAAATATATAGCCCAAATCTGTTCAGTTGTTTTAACGTTTTTATGTATGAATACAAACCAACCAACAAACATATGTTACAAGTGAAAGAATCTGATCTTTTGCCACATACTCAACCTTTTTCATTCCTTTAACTTTGAAACCTGATGGTGAAAACCTTAATAGTTCAATCATACAGAATAATAGTTGTCTATGACATCGGGTTTTCAACTTATAGGGATTAGAAAATCAGAGTTTGTGTCAAGAACTCAGTTTCTTTACAATAATTACCTAATGTAATCCAGAACCAATGATTCCATAAGGTCCCCATGATTACTCCGCCTTTTCTCCGCCTTCTTCAACTATTATTCGCCTCCTGAACAAGGAACAAAATGTAATAATATTTGAATCAAATAATAAAAATTTATGTTTTTCAATATTAAATGTTCATCAACATATTTTTAGGTTTTGTGTCTTTATAAAAATAATAATATTAATAGTTAAAAGATGTTAATCTTTACTGCATATTTAAAGTACACAGTATAGTTGATTAAAAAGAATAAAATGCCAGCTTGAAGAAAAAATGCTCACTTAAAGGGACTGTAAAGGAAAAATGAAAGGGGGTATAGGCTGAAACCTAAGTTGATCGAGACCCATAAGAGTTCTACAGATATTCCTATGTTCCTGTCTTGAGTAATTGATACAAAACTGTGTCAGATTTATACAAAAATCGGTATATACCAAATTTGGTATAAAAATAGCAGATTTAAACAGATCATATTCAGCAAATACGCAACCAATCTGAAAACGATGATATCTCAGAGGAGCCTAAGTAACTTAGGTTTGCGCCTATTATTATTTGAATTTCATAATTTTTCATTTTTAATAGATTTAATTAATAATTATTTTTCATAATTATATGTATGATTATTTACACAGTAAACTAATTAGATGTTTAGGAACAAATTTCTCAATTGAAATTTTCTATAAATCAATGTTTATAGAATCAATTATTTCTTTTTCATTATTATATTGAACTTCTTATTCTTATTATTATTTGTTCTTAGATTTCTTTAAATTCTTCAAATGTCGTCTTTTCAATAAAAATTTCAGCAAATCTACAGAAAATGTTTGTGGATAATTAAACATCATACAAAAACCAATAACTGAATAAGATTACTTATTTTCGATGATAATATATTCCAGACATCAGAATCAGAACAGAATTGTGCAGTGTAAATAGACCCATTCTACTGAATTAGTTATTTAATAAGTGTCTAGTAAAACTATTTGTTTTGTAACAACTCCAAATACACTTAACTATTGCTATTAGTATAGTTTAGTTTAGTTTAGTTTAGTTTAGTTTGATATTTCAAACTTAGATTATTTGATCTAACAGAATTCATAGTTTGAAGTATGAAAGGTAATATGACATTGGGTTACAAAGGAATAGGGATTAGAAAATCATTTTTTGTGGTAAAAACTCAATTCCTTTTGCGTGTTTTAGTTCAAATTGAGTTTGTTGTTTCAATTTTGTTTCAGTTTGGTCTGGTTAAGAGCAAGGTCTCAATATCTGACATTTCAAGTTTAAATCATGTTTCCGGGGATTTTCTAAAAAATGCTAAATATGATGGCCGCGGTATGCTCAGCAATCTATTTAAAGAAGAGTGTATAAACTTAAACTCTCAACGAAGAGGATCATAACAAAGTTTAATGAACCTTCATCAAATCCCACTTAAATATATTCTTTGTGCTTCAACAACCAAAGTTGTACAAATTAAACCAAGTAAAAGGTGACCCTCGAGTTCCCCCCCCCACCCCACCTCCAACTCTAGTTTAAAAATACAGGGTGTCCAACAGAACATGACAGTGGAGAGACGTCTAAAATTAATTCGTCTATGTTTTATTGAATGCCGCAAAATTAATTTAGAGATAAAAGACGATCTTTAAGTCGTCTTTAAACTCTCATGTTTCATATAAATCTCAAATACTGGTAATAGACACTGTCCAAAATCCAGTTTATAATCATCATGTTCAAGAAGTGATTTAAAATGTCATTCTTTCAGATCAGTTTATTATCAGCCCTACAGCTTAAAAACTAGATTTGAAATAAAATACATTTGGGTTGATATTCTACGGGTTAGATTTGGGTTGGGGGGTTAGGAGGGTGGGGAGTTTGGGGTAATGGGACCTGATTGTGTAAGAGACGACCGGGGGGGGGGGGGGCTGAACTGAGAACTCTGGACTTACGATTATTTGAAGTATGTTCTTTGTTGAATTCATGGTCATAATCATTTCAACCATTCCGACCTTTTCCTTCTCATCCTTCTCATCCCAACCTTATCCTACCCTCTCATCCTTTTCATCCTTCTCATACCAACCTTATCCTACCCTCTCATCCTTCTCATCCTTCTCATACCAACCTTATCCTACCCTCTCATTCTTCTCATCCTTCTCATCCCAACCTTATCCTATTCTCTCATCCTTCTCATACCAATCTTACCATCTCATCCTTTTAATCCCATCCTTCTCGTCCCAACCTTATTCTCTCATCCCAACCATATTCCCTTATCCCAAACTTATCCTACCCTCTTATCCTTCTCATCCCAAACTTATTCTCCCATCCCAACCTTTACAACTCATCCTTATCATCCCAACGTTATCCTCTTATCTATCTCATCCCAAACTTATCATACCCTCTCATCCTTCTCATCCCAAACTTATCATACCCTCTAATCCTTCTCATTCCAACCTTATCCTACTCTTTCATCCTTCTCATCCCAACCTTCTCATCTACCCATTCCATCCTTACCTTACCATTCTTCTCTTCCCGTCCATCTCTTTCCATCCCTCTCATCCTATCCTTCTCCTCTCAACCTTCTCTTCTCAACCCAACCTTCTCCTTTTATTTCAGCCTAATAAACCTGTCGTTCAAAACATTGCATAAGAATCCATCTTGAATAAAGACATCATTTACAGTTTCGCGCCGATCGGCAACTTTTATATGAACATGAAGGAATGGAATTATTTCTCTCAGATCGGCAACTTTTATATGAACATGAAGGACTGGAATTATTTCTCTCAGATCGGCAACTTTTACATGAACATGAAGGACTGGAACTATTTCTCTCAGATCGAAAGGTACAGTACTTCTGAATTTTAAAGTTGTTTCTAAAAGTTCTAATTCTAAAATTTTCATATTTTATTCTAGAACTCTTGATACCAGGAATATTTGATGTGAAGAATTCATGAACCATATAATTATGCAAACAAGGGCAGAATAGTAATTTTGGACTTTTCCGGGATATATTATCTTTTCTCGTAGTTTTAATTCAGCGTTGAAAGATCAGATTGTATAGGAGGGGAAGGGAGGTTATTTTGACAGCATTTTTCGATTCAACTTAAAATCTTTTTGAAATTTCACTGGATTTAACGTCGACCTTGAGGACTAAGGAGTGTTTTAAGATATTTTTAAGGAAAAATATTTGAATGATTTTCATGATTTAAACCCTAAGATGACTCGGGGGGTTTGAGCAAAGGGTAATGGATACCAGATCAAAAATAACGCCAACGTTTCCGGATAATTTTAAAACAGTTTTCTTACCTAAATCTCAAATTGTTCGCCTCTTGTGCATATTTATCCTTTCTGAAAAATAAATATAAATGCAATTTAATGCTTAAATTACTAGCAAGTATGATTACAGGGGGAGTTGCAAAATTTGTAGTGAAGTTTGCAATTTTAGAAGGAAGGAAGGTGGAAGGGAGTAGGAAGATATTATGGAAGGAGGAAGGTGGAAGGCAGTAGGAAGATATTATGAAAGGAGGAAGGTGGAAGGGAGTAGGTAGATATTATGAAAGGAGGAAGGAGAGAAGGGAGTATGAAGATATTATGGAAGGAGGAAGGAGGAAAGAGAGTAGGTAGATATTATGGAAGGAGGAAGGAGGGAAGGGAGTATGAAGATATTATGGAAGGAGGAAGGAGGGAAGAGAGTAGGAAGATATTATGGAAGGAGGAAGGTGGAAGGGAGTATGAAGATGTTATGGAAGAAGGAAGGTGGAAGGGAGTAGGAAGATATTATGGAAGAAGGAAGGGGGGATGGGATGTTTACCGGGATCCTGTTAGGTGAAGGAATTGCATTATGATATATTTTACCGTTAATATTTACAGATCACGATTCAGCCAATTTTATTTTCCCGGAACCTAGTTGTAAACTTGGAATCCTAGAAATTATTTTATTCTCCCTAAACCCCTCCTTGTATCCAACATGTTGCCCCACCTAAAGCCTTTCTTTCATAAAGATATGAAGTCTTTTAAATTTAAAGACTTCACTGAGTTAAGAACTATAATAAGGTCAAAATTAATTGGAGAAAAATTTCAAAATAAAAAATCCCGTGCAACGATGAACAACAAACAATGAAGAAAAAACATATTCCATGATAAAATCATAAAGTATAATTAATGATAAGATAATACTTCCGTATATTAGATATATATATATATATATATATATATATAAAATTAAAACAAGAAAAGTAAATAAAGAGAAGAAGAAAGTTAGAAAAAAAGAGAAGAAGCATGGAAGAAGACCTGAATTTTATGCGGAGAAACCAAAGTTTGCAAAAAAATCATTTAGGGAAAAATTTATTAGAATTAAAGAAGAAAAAATGTTTCCGAAGGAAGAAGAAGTAAGACCATGAGTGGAAAGGGAAGGACGAAAGATGGCATGGCAAGGACGAAGGGAAGACAAAGGGCGGAGAAGGGAAAGAGGATGGGAGAAAAAAGGGTAATGGGAGAAAAGAAAGGACATTGGGTGAAGATGGAAGGACGAAGGGAAGAGAAGAAAGGACAGCGGAAGGGAGAAGGACAACGGGTGAAATGGAAGGACGAAGGGAAGAGAAGAAAGGACAGCGGAAGGGAGGAGAAGGACAATGGGAGGGAAGAAAAAGACAACGATTAAGAAATGAAGGACGAAGTTGGAACGAGAGGGAAGTAGAACCAACAAAGGATGACAAGAGAAGGACGATGGGAAAGAAGAAAATGACGATGTGAGAGAAAAGAAGAACCATGAGAGAGAAGAGAAGGACGGTGGGAGAGAAAATAAGGACGATGGGAGAGAACATAAGGACAATGGGAAGAGAAGGGCAAAGAGTGGAGTAGAAATGACAGTGGAAGGAGAAGGACGAAGTGAGGATAACAAAAAAAGAACGACAAGAGAAGGACGATGGGAGAAGAAGGACAAAGAGCGGAGAAGGAAGAACAGTGGAACGGAAAAGAAGGTTAATGGGAGAGAAGAGAAGGACGATGGGAGGAGAAGGACAAAGAGCGGAGAAGGAAGAACAGTAGAAAGGAAAAGAAGGTTAATGGGAGAGAAGAGAAGGACGATGAGATGTGAGGAGAAGGACAATGGAAGGAGAACGAACTAAAAATGACAAGAGAAGGAATACAAGGGGAGGACGATGGGAGGAGAAGGAAGGACAAGGGGTGGATTTATTGAACGGTTGACCAGGATTTCGCAACATTGAAACTAGAGAACTTGAACCCTGGAATATTCTTTATTTACTTGTATATGCAGAGTGCATACAGTGCACCTAAACTGAAAACTGCGACAACTTTTTTGGGTTAAAAGATTTTTGAAGAATACCTTTTCTCAGAGAATTAATATTTTTATCGGAAACGGATCAACAATTTGTTGCTTTTGATAAAAACGGTTGTCGACTTATCTCCGGTCTAGTTTAAACCCTTGTTTGACCCTGTGCTTGTGTGTATACTAGGAGAAGGATACATAATGCAGCAGAGTTAATAGATTACAAGAAAGAATTTCTCTTCAACCTTAAACCTGATCCTAACCTCAACCCTAAACTCCCTCCTGCAGCTTTAACAAGCTTCAAACCTAAAGCATAAAACCGATTTTTCCTAAACCTTAAACCCTCTCATATAGAAATATGAAACCTATTCATATAGATTAAACTTAGAATTCAACCCGAGCTTAAACCTAGCGCTTCATCCTTAAACCTTCTCCTAGAGTTTAAACCTGATCCATAAACAACCTTAACCCTTCTCCTGGAGCTTAAACCTGATCTTAAAACAACCCTCTTGGAGTCTCTTCAAGCTTAAATCTTAAACTTAAGCAACCGTAAACCTTCTCCTGGAGCTTAATCCCTATCTTTAACTAACATTTAACCTTCTCCTGCAGTTTAAACCAACCTTATACCTTCTCCTGAAACTCAAACTTGATCCTAAAACTTCTCCTCGAGCTTTAACTTGCTCCTAAACCAACCAATTACCGACTCCTGGAGCTTAAACCTGATACTTAAACCTTCTCTTGGAGCTTAAACCTGATCCTTAAACCTTCTCTTGGAGCTTAAACCTGATCCTAAACCAATCTATAACTATCTCTTAAAGCTTAAACCTGATCTTAAACCAACCTTAAACTTCTACCGGAGCCTAAATCTGATCTTAAACCAACCTTAAACTTTAACCGGAGCTTAGACCTGATCTTAAACCAACTTTAAACTTCTACCGGAGAGCTTAGACCTGATCTTAAAATAACCTTAAACCTCCCTGGAGCGTAAGCCTGACTCTTAAACCTTCTCGCGGAGCTGAAACCTAAAAAACCCTGGTCCTAAACCAGACCCTAATCCTCTCCACCCAAATTAAAAATATTTAAAAATTTATTAGATATTTCTTATTATTTAGTTGCTAAATTTAAACACAAATCACGTCTTCATATATTAAAACTATAAAATGATGAAATCCAGTCTTTTACGACATTCAAACCAAATATTGGGTAAAACCAAATATTGATCACATAGAAATCTTGAAAATTTAAATCTTTTAAAACTCCTTGAATCCTTTTTTTCGATTTGATTAGTTTGGCCTATGGCCTCTAAGTATGCCTATTAACGATTATTTACGGATTGACCTGATCTAACGAGAGGAAACAAAGAGAAAAGTTAAGTTATTTCGGCACAAAATTACATTTAATGACAACATTTTTATATGCACACAGTATACATTTATCATCCCATACCATTTATTTAAGTACAATTTTATTAAGTGGTGGAATACAGTGCAGGTACCATTAGGTGCCATTATAGAGATGCGTCAGTACCTATTCTCTTCCATCTCTATGGCCTGACCTGACCCAGGTTTAAATTGAAGCGTATTATCTACGCATTTATGACGCTTTTAAGATATTCCCCGTTGTATGTGTATCCTATATGTTTAAGGGGAAAAGGTCAAACCAACAAATCCCGACAAACATACTAAAACTTTTTTAAGCATTTTTTTAAAGAATAATACGCAAGTCAGTTTTGTGTGCATATGCACACGGTCAAAACAGGAAATAAACTTTACACAAACACAATATTGCACATAAAACATACAAATGCAAAAAAATGTTTTGAGGAATTTGTTGCTAAAACTTTTTTTAATTTTTAAAAAGTGGATTCTATAAGTTATTGGGATTTGACCATTATAGTTTGGCCCCTGACCCTTCAAATAAAACAAATAAAAATTCTTTTTGTTTAAATATGTTTTGTCTGATTCGCTTTGACTCTATGTGTTTACAGGATAGGTGTATAGGCCCCCAGGATTATAAATTAACTGTGGGAAAACTGAGAAATATTTTCACATTTGCGGAGTTTTGCCATTGGAAACATTCCGGAGTTTCTAGCTGCAAAGGATATCACGATACATTATTGTTTTTTATTTTTAATTATAAAAAATTATTTTTAAACTATTGTAATTATTGTGCAACACTATTGTGACAATTGTAACGCAGCAAACTATTTTAAGTACGTGACAAAATTGTCGAACTGTTTTAACGTAACAAACTAAACCAATGTATATTGCATATAACGTAGCAAACAATTCATTAATATATACATAGAGTGACACCCATAAAAGTGTACAATTGGAAGACGACATTTAAACAGTTTTGTGAATTTGATGGTGCTTTAAGCAAATAATTTTACCACTGTTTGAGAACCAACTTATTTAGTGAAATGGGTCTGTGTCCATTGGACTATTTAAAGTCATAATTTTAGTTTAGCAGTCGTCTTCCTTTTCCACAATTTTACGGGTTTCCCTGTACGTATTGCACAAGTGTCAAACCGTGATTGTTTGATTACTAATGGAGTTTGGAAGGACGGAATTTCAAGGTTCAAGAACAATGATCATGTACAGAATAATTTAATTATAAAAATTGAGTGTTTAATTTTATATTATTTTAGACTGGATTTCGTACTATTCAAAATTGAGACTTTAAGGAGTGGTAGGGTGTAGACTCTCTTGATAAACATTACCATAAGCAATCTGTTGATGTATACTCTATAAATTAAACTTTTTTCTATTTGTCGTTTAAATCAAACAGTTAATGAGACAGTTTCATGGTGTAAATATGCCTGAAGTATTTTTTAATCAAATTTTATACAAAGATAAAAAAATACAATTTTAAATTTGTCAAGATACTCTTATGTAGTGCCAAATCTAATTATGATGACAACCTTTATTTATGACCCCTCCCCCCCCCCTCCAAACTGCAACGACGTATGGTCTAAATCTGCAGGTTTCAGCCATTATATTGATAAATGTTCTGTCCAGTTCTAGCTTTGATTAAACTTGATTAATTGATTCATACTTGGGAAAA